TACTCCTGTATGTCTACAAATCACTGAACAGTGTCGCCCCCCCCCCATCTTTCTGATCTGCTACAACCGTATGTCCCACCTCGCTCCCTGAGGTCAGCGGACCAGTTGCTCCTCACAGTTCCAGGAACTCATCTTAAGTGCAGAGGTGACAGGGCCTTCTCTGTAGCAGGACCAAGAGTTACCTCTGCTTGTCAGACAGGCCCCCTCCCTCTCGGTTTTCAAGTCCAGTTTAAAAACTCACTACTATTCAGTAGCTTTCAACACCAGATGATCTGTGTTTTGATCCTGTATGCTCCACACTGGTTTGTCGTCATTATCTGCATCGTTTTTATGTCTATATTCTGATTTACCTCATTTTATATTTTGTTTTGTGTGTTACCTGTTGTTCTGTCTGTACAGCACTTTGGTTGGCCTTGTCGCTGTTTTAAGTGCTCTATAAATAAAATGGTATGATATGATATGGTTAAGATATCTGCACTTATTTTTCCTTAAATATTGAAAGGAGAGATAAATAATATTATTGATGAGGAACAATCTGGTTTCATGTCAGGCAGGAATATCTGCAACAACATTTGTTTGGTTTTAGATATGATCGACTACAATTAATATATTCCTGACTATAGTTTTATACTTTTCTTCGATTTATATAAAGCATTTGACACTTTTAAGCCACATATTTATGTTTAAAATCATACAACATTTTGGATCTGTATTGTCTGCAGAGATACCTACTTGCCTACTTTTGCTCTTTGTCCTGTGTATCAGAGCCTCTCTTTACACAGCTTCCAAATCATAAATTAGTACTATGGATCTAGTCAGCTGGTCTCAACGCAATTGAAACCATTTTTTCACCAAGAGACATGGTGCTGGAGAGCCCTCATGCCCTGAACGATGCACGCAACTGGGTATGTCATTGATTCCTGGGGGCAGTGGAAGATGATGTGCCTGTCTGTGCTGTCTGTGGAGGATGTAGAAGAGGTGTACATTATTGGATTTATGAAAACACGGTTTCTGATTTTTGGAATCAGCAGATACCTGGGATATTGACTTGTTTCGTTATGCTAGGCCTGTACTTGTCAACAGCAGTTTCAGCCATGGTAAAGCTGCCAGCCTTATGTGAAGGATTAATTTGCACTTGGAGCTAACAGACTCATATGCTTTGTGAGCTCAACCACAAGCTGGACACAATTTCTGAGAATCGTAAGCTACTTGCGGCTCCTGAAATTCACCAGCATGAAGGATTTGACCTTGGAGAAGGCTAACAAATATAGATGGGGCCGATCCGATTCAGCATCGGCCTCTGATACCAGCATAATTTATGTATCAGATTTTTCCAATCCATGATTCATGTTGGCTTCAAACTATGGAATGGATTTCCTGAACAGAGACGTGTCTCACGAACTCAGAGTAATAAGACCCGCCTCACATTCAGGAAATCCAGTTCATAGTTTGCAGCCAGCTACAACGTGAGGACTGAGTTAGCAGCACTGTGGCTAACTGCTAACAAACTTTTCATCTAAACATGTCCACTGTGTGGAAGTATTTTACACTACAAACACCACAAAACAAGACAGCAATGTGCAATGTCTGCAGAGCCACAGCGCCACATTAAACCACGTTAAAGTTAGTTTTACGTTGGACATTCGAGCTCCAGGGCTTCAGCGAGGCACTACTCTTGCTCAACCCGAATCAGGCAACTCGACCCCAGTCAGCCGCGCCCAATCTGCCCTGCTCAATCTGCCCGTCTCTGAGGAGGGACAGACTGAGCGAAAAACCGAAATCAGACTGCCTGCTTTGGACTGAACAAGAAGAAGACATCGCTGAACCCCCGGAGCTCAAATGTTTACAGAGAAGTTGCTAAACTTCATCATAATTAATGACCAACCACTATCAGTTGTAGAAAACAAAGGATTTCACAGCTTGATACTTGCAGCCAAGATATAACTTACCCTCCAGGAGGGCGGCTGTGGCTGAGTGGTTAGAGCAGTCGTCCTCCAATGCGAGAGTTGAGGGTTCGAATCCACCAGCAGTCATATGCTGAATTGTCACCGGGCAAGACACTGAACCCCTCATAGCCTCCGATGTGTGTCCCATCAGTGTGAATGTGATAAATCACTGATTAGTCTCTTTGGAATGATTTGTTCAATTAGCTTTGTATAGATCTAGTATAGAGCTGTATGAATGGGTAAATGAGGCACAGATTGTAGTGTAAAGAGCTTTGAGTATCTTGATAAGATGGGAAGACGCTATATAAGTACAGTCCATTTACCATATTTATCAGTACAACAGTAGACAATCATAAAAAAACATATGATTTGAAAATTACAAGAAAATTATATGTATTAAAAAAACTAAACAAAAACAGCTACATTGTAAAGTGATGTAAAATAATAAAAACAGGAACATATCTGTGTTGGTTTATGCCATGAACTTATGTTTAAAGCCATTTAACATTATATTTTTATTTAATTCATTTATTCATTCATTAAAAAAAATAAAAAAATAAACAACAGTCATCAAAAAAAAAACATTGAATGAAAAGAGTGCAGAAAGAAGAAAAAAAAATCTTATATCTGCCCCTTGTTTAAAAAATTAAATTAAATAACTATAAACAGTCACTTAAATTAATCACTTTAATATCCACTTTAAAGCTAGGAATAAAAAAAAAACCATGTTTTGTGTTAGCAGGATTTAATTCTAACTTTAAAACTTATCCAACATTAATAAAACTTACCTCAGGTTGCTTTTTTGGACATGCATGCATATATTTGTACTTGAGAGGAGATTATTACAGCCTCATATAAAATCAATGATGATGATGATATTGGAATGGGATCGGTATCGGCCGATATCAAGATTTAGGTATTGGGATCGGATCAGAAGTAAAAAAAGTGGATCGTGCATCCCTACTAACAAGCATGGACCAGCGGAATGTCCACAAATCTGGTTGTTTGGATTCACCATTGAGACCATCCCAGTACCAACAGAACTCAAGGCACACATGAAATCAGAGTCTGCCCAAAACCATTGTTGTTTATCTGAATCTGGTCTTGGACAGTCCAACATATCTCAAACTGCTCCTGGTGGATATGTAAACCAAGAAGCTCTGGTCTGTTCACCCCCCCCCCCCCCCCCCCCCCCCCCCCCCCCACCCCGAGAACTCCTGTGAACACTTATCAGAGTTGTACCAGCTGACAGAAACTGTAACATCTTATCAGGACTATGGAAACTATCTGGAGGTGTTCATGGACAAATCTCACCATCTTGTCGTCCATGTATTGTGTCTACGTTACTTGCTGTGGTACATTTTTTTGATGCCTTAAACCGTGCCCTGCAAGGACACGGTGAGAGATCTTTTTATATCTTCTCTCTTCAGGTTTTCTTCTCTTTTTCTATCCAAGCAATAAGGGCAGCGCTTCATAGACGCTGCAGCCCCGGTACACTTCCGTCCATCTTTAGGACGACTGTATGGAATGTAATTTTGTTGTATTTCACTGTGCAATGACAATAAAGCTTGTTCTGATTCGGAAAAATCAAATAGGACATCCCTAACAAGAAAGTTATCTATACAAAAATGATTCTCGACAGTCATGACACATCTACTTGACAGCCTCTATGTATTACTGTTTCATGTCCCCGCTGGCATTTCGTTTGTATTATTGATGTTGATGACTGTTAACAACCAGAAGTTTTGTTTGTCTTATAATTTTCAAAAAAGCTGAATGGATGCACACTGATGATGTCATAGCTCTGCTGAGCACTTTAGTCCTAGAGCTTAAAGTCATTTACTGTATTGGGATTTTTTTAATTATTATTATTTATAGTAGAAGTCAAATAATAAAGAATGAAATCGGCTCATGCTTTTAAAAAAGCGTATTTGTCAAAGTGATCATTTGGAGAGAAAAGGTGTTTTAAATGAAAATGACATACTTAATTTTGGTCACAAAATTTCCTTTATAAAACAAACAAAAAATGTTGTTTGGTGACTATAGTTTTTTTTTTTAAATTAAGTTAATTGTTTCAATAAAATTTGGTTTATAAGAACTCTACATGTTGCATCCTTACCTGCCTCTGCACAGATGTTTTATATCTGAAGGATTTTTATTAGAACAACCATTAAACACTAATGAACACCAATTCAGTCATCAGATATATTCAGTTATTGCCACCATTAGTTATTGTAATTGTCTTTTAATTTTCATTTCAAACAGTTGAAGTTGGATGAATGTCTTATTGTTGGAAATATATATATTTTATATTGTTCTACATTAAGAAAAACATAAATGTGTATTATTTGTCTTTGATTTGTGATGATAGTGGAGATTAAGCAAATGGTTTTTTGTAAATTATCAGCATGGTGAACAAACTTTGCTCTGATGGGAGGTGATATGTTGGATGGGAAGTTGGTGAATTTTACTGAGATAAATTAGCAAATTTGTTTAAAAAAAACAACATTCTAAGAAAAACAATTTGCAGGAATGACAGTAAACCAAGCACAGGCGTGAAATCGTCTCCTGATCCTCTTCTCCTGTAATTCTGCTTTGGTATCAGTCGGGTTGGGTAATTAAGAACAACTAACGTCGGACAGAGTTTCTTTCTGTAAACCTGCCAGCGGGGAGTCAGTTACCATGGTGATACTCTCAGGGTTCCCTTACTTTGCTTTCTGGGAAGAAAACTTCAGATTTTCCCTCAACGCAGAATTAAATTACTGAAGTTTTACTAAAAGTGCTTTCTGTAGTACCTCTTAGGTGTCCACTGAAGATGGTGAGGTTTGAATGAAAACTGGTGTGACGACTGAGGGTGAGGATGGAGCCCGAAAAAGAGACAGCAGTTATTAAACAATGTAAACCCAGATGGTCAGGTGCTGAAAAGTAGAAAGCAGGCACTTGCAGATGTTCTGATCCAGCCAGCAGTTTGAGCTGAGTCAAGCCTGCCTCGCTGTTCATGAGTTTTTCAACAAACCCCTTCTGTATTTGAGTAATCCAAGAAGTTCTTGGTCCAAACATCATCCTTCAGAAGGTTCTTTACTCTCAACTTCCTCTGAGATCAAAGAGTCGCCAAGAACCCTGGACACGTCACCAGTTGGATGTTCAGCAATCTGCTTCAGGAGGTCCTCAGACTGCAGCAGCTGATGGGTCCAGTCCTGACAGGCCTCCTCTATCCCGGGCCCCTGCCCTCCATATTCTGGAGGCAAGATCTGCTGCGGGAAAAAATCTCTTAATGTGTTGTGGAACTCCGTGCTGTGCATGTGAACCTATGGCACAAAGAGATCATTATTTGATTTATGTGTGTGAAAAAGAACAGCGATACCAGCAGATCAGAAGCAAGTTTATAGCCAATCAGTGTAAAAAGAGTCTCACCCTCTGTTTGATCTTTTCGGGCAGGAAGGGCCGGATCATTGCAAAAACTGGGCGGAAGAACATTGGCTCATTGACCAGATGGATTCCTCTTACTTTTAGTGGGAAAGAATCCTGGAAGAGAAGACAAATACAAACTCACATACAGCATGTAAAAATATGCAGTTACCAGGTTGACCATATTAAAGGTATAGTCTGGACATTTTGTTAGGGATGCCAAACAAGGACAAGTTTTTGTTGCCTGTTTCAGAGAAAAGAGAGGAATTGGAAATAGTCTTCGTAATAAATAAATAAGGTACTGACGACCATTTTACTGTGTGGCTACATCTAGTTGTAAGAAAGTTCCCTATTGAAAACTGGGTTGTCAAAATCCAAGCTGGCCACAACCAT